TAACATCAAAAAATGAAAATAATAATCAATGAACGAGTCAATCTTGATTATGATCATTAATACAGCATTGCCTCTTGAAAATTCTTCTACTTTTCCAAAACGCAGAGGCATGCAGTTTGGGACAATTTTGGTAGCAAAATACTAACTTACCAGGGACAATCTGCCGAAACACTCACAAATCAGGTGGACCTAAAATCCAGTAACTAAATACATCCGTTACAGTCCTACTAGCTTAATATCAAAAACAATTACCTGGTCACTCCCTTCTGCCTGAGACGTAACATCGCTAGTCTCATCAACAGCCTCAGGTGAACTCAGTGGCTCACTCTTCACCACGACCTGCATGTGCTGCTGCTGCTCCTCTTCTTCCTCACCTCCATTCTTTATCTTCATCCCTTCGCTATGGTGATGGCTCGCATCCGGGTATTCCTCTTTACGTGGCAACAGCAGCGTTTTTTCCGGTCCTGCTCCCCTCCCTCCATCTGACTGAGTGGGAAGCTGCATGTCTTCATGGGCCAGTCCCCTTCGATACTCATCTTGCTCTAGTAAACCTCCATCATGCCCCGGAATGACCCCAGCGACGACCTCATCCATTATTTTACCGTGAGAATCGGGAGACAGAAGCTCCTCTCCACCCACACGCCCCTCCACCTGCGAGGAGAGGCGCGGCCTCCCCCGTTCCGAAGCGATCAGGGACAAGGGCTGTTTGCGCTTCAGGAAACGGCGTGTCGGGTGAGAACCGTGCTGATCCACCAACCCGCTAGCGCACGCTGAACCCGTTCTCCTCCCGGTCCCTGTTCCCCCATCTTCAGCCCCACTCAGGGCAGAACTGACCAGGCTCAGGCCGAGCTGTTGCAGCAGAAATGAGCGCTGGAGATGAGAGTTGGCAGCTGCTGCTGCTGCTGCTTGTTGCGGCTGACCACCACGGTCTGCCGGGGGAGACATGGGTAGAGTGCGAGTTGTAAGGTAGTGCTTACAGGCTTTCACCACAGTGTTTAGATGCAGATGAGAAGCGGCCAGCAAGACATCCATGACGTTACTCTCTCCTAGCATCAGTGTGGACGTGTACATCATGTCCATCAGTGCAGCAAACGCTTCAGCCGTCACCACTTCCGAGTCCAGATGGATCATCCTGGTACTGGCGTCTCCCTCGGCAGCAGTAAACAGTGCTCGGAAATGTGTACTGCAGGCGGACAGCACAGCACGGTGGGCCTTGAAATGACGGCTGCCAACCATGATCACACAGTCACACAGCTGTCCATGCAGCCGCTGGTAGTTCAGCTGCTGGAAGATCTGCTCAAAATGTCCTGGGAAATCCATGACCTGAAGACAAATGGAGAAAAGATGACTAAGATGAGGAAATATTTAAAGCCCAAACAATACAGACTAGACATAATTCAGCCACATAGTGTATACAAAATCGAAATTGTATATATATAAACAATATACACATCTGCATATCGAAGTGCAAAACATTTGAGTCAAAACTCTAGTCTGAAGTTAATATATAATTTACATCCTTTTCAAACATAAAGTCATTAGTTAACACAATAAATCCCCATATGTAAGTTACTTCCAAAAATAAAACAAAAAACGAGTTTTATGTAAAGCTTGTATGGGTGTCATATTTACACACATTGTATGTCTTAACAATAAAAACAGGAAAACGAAAACAAAATGTGCATATGAGAGTGAACTGACAGCAGTTCTTTGTTTAACTGAGCAATACATTAAGCGAGTAGTTATGTTGGCTACTCTGCTAGCCCAGTTCTCTCACATAGTCCTGAAACACACCTACTTTACACGTCTATCTCATGCGTCTTCAGAGAGTCCGGGTTTGTCCGCTTAAACCATCCAGAAATACATGCAAAAATCTGTCCATGACAGTTAGTCGAGGCACTGGCCTGTGGAGTCACACATACACACTAGAGACGGTGGGTCACGGGAAACAGCATCAGCTGCTCAGACGCGTCCGCCAATCTGACTGGAAGCGTCGAGAAAACCAATCCATTCCGCCACCTACTGTACTGGAGAGTCTGTCAATAACGCTCGAGTGCATTGCAATTAAAGGATAGTTTGTCAAAAAGTGAATACTCGGTGATCATTTACATCATTTGCCCTCATGTCGTTCCAAGCCTGTATAACTTACTGTCTTCTGTAGAGCACAAAAGAAAATTCAAAATAAACAAAGAGACAAAGGCGTAGTTTGATGACGCCGTGACTGAGTGTGGAATCATGGGAGTTGTAGTCTTCATCCCCACAGCTGATGCAATCCGACGGGATTCGGGCAGAAATCATGTTCATGGATGAGCTAATGATTTATTAACGTAGTAGAATGAAGCAGGGTGAGGCTGAAAGCTGTCGAAGCGAAACGAGGCACACGGCTTCCGGAGCTTTTATTATGCCACAGTCGACCACTTCCGCTTCTTCAGGTCGTGCGTATGTGGGGTAAAGCAGCGTTGTTTTATCATACTAGATACGTTTGAAAGTTCTGTTATAATGCTACTCTGTGCGGTCGTCACCTGTCTAATAAAACGCATAACATATCAAAGCGTCTTTGGCATTTCCATGTTTTCTACAAAACAAAACCGGAAATCGAGGGGTTTTGACGTCATTGGCAGGCGACACAATGACACTATGGACACGCTCCGTGTCACTAGTTAAAATTGCTTATTTCTCTGGATTTAAACATTCTTCGAAACATTTGGGATAATGTAAGTACACAAGGCAGCAAAATATATAACACTGTTCTAGTGGTTTTTGGATATGGATATTATTTTTGGATATTGTGCCTTTAGGTAAGAATTAAAGGGGTCATATGATGCGATTTAAATTTTTCCTTTCTCTTTGGAGTGTTACAAGAGAAAGGTGTAAAGATCTGTAAAGTTGCAAAAACTAAAGTCTCAAATCCAAAGAGATATTCTTTATAAAAGTTAAGAGCCAGCCACACCTACCTAAAACGGCTCGTTCTAACACGCCCCCACATGTCTATGTCACGATGTGGGAAGATTTGCATAACGGCGCCCAAATGTTCACGCAAAGAAAGAAGGCGTAACTTTTATTCTCGCTGTAGTATTGTTGTTGCTGCCGTCATGTCGTGAAGGCGCTGTGTGCTTCGTTGTGAAAGTGAAACTACTTTGTTTGGTCTTCCAAAAGAGGACGATATCGCTTCATCATGCCTGGAGCTGATCCGTGCTGGTCGCTGAGGAAATACATCAACTTCGTGCTGTGGATCACCGGATCGGCTTTCACCGGACGAAGCGGAGTCCAGCCCGGGGTCGTCACGTGTGGTTGCTGCAAGCCTGCCGGACGCTCCTTCGTCGAATCTGCCAGCTGTGCCGTTCTCAAGCTCACCTGCCTCTGCTCACTCAAGCCGCCCTCCGCATACTCTAGGCCGCCCGCCGCCGCTCACTGTAGGCCGCCGTGTGACGCTGTGTTTCGTTGTGAAAGCGAAACTACTTTGTTTGGGTTCCAAAAGAGGACACGACTAGAAATCAGTGGTTAAGTTGTATTTACGACACTGTTCCAGAACACTTCAACCCAAATATTCAGATGTGTGCCGCACATTTTATGGAGGACTCTTTCCTGATCCTGGGAGAGTAGACTACAATGCCGGCTGTCCTGACTCAAAGACTGTAAGTACGTTTTTTATATTTAAAGAATTTGCCACTGACGATTCAAACGCGAATTTTGAGAATTGGACGATTCTGAGCAGTGTAGAGTAGCACTTGTAGTTTGTCTCTGATCACAAATGCAGACATGGTTTTATGTTTACGCGGCGCGATGCAACGCAAGCGTAAAAAGACGGTATAAGTCATTATAATTCGTAATTATGTCCCCACTGGATGCAACAAATGCCTCGTTTGTAATGGGTTTTAATGTTTTTGTCTCGTCGCTCCGGCCGGGACAAGGCATCACAATATGGTAAGGGGCGTAACATTTCTGTCACACGCTTGAGGTATTCGGCCAATCACAACGCACTGGATAGCTGGCCAATCACAGCACACCTCGCTTTTCAGACCGATGAGCTTTGGAAAAATCGACGCGTTTCAGAAAGGCGGGGCATAGAGGAGAAACAATAATGTACAATATGTGGAAAATAATGTGTTTTTAACCTTAAACCGCATAAATACATTTCATTACACCAAATACACAAAATAATGTTCTTTTTAGCAACATCATATGACCCCTTTAAATTTCTTGAGTATCAAAAGAACACGTACATTTTATAAGCATCTCCTTGTTTTCATAGTCTGTGTTAGGATATGTAATTATGAACATTAACAAACATTAAACCAATTGTTCACCCAAAAAAAAGAAAAGCTGTCATCATCATTTACTCATCCTAATGTTCTGTATTCAAATACAAAATCGTTACAAATGTCTTCTTCTGCATAACATAAATTTATCTTGGTATTAATCTTTACCCCTCCAATGAATTAGAATAGAAGTATAATATATATATAATATAATTTCTACAATTAATCCAAAATGCCGCTGCAAGATTAATCTTTAATGAGCCGAAAAGAACGCATGCCATGCCTCTGATCATCAATTTGCACTGGCTACCAGTAACTGACTGGTAGCAACCACAAATGGCTGCAATATAACAAAGAGTGAAACATTTAAGGGGGTCTGAATACTTTCCGTACCCACTGTATATATTGTTGCTCTTTTGTTAGTTTTGACTGCTTGTATTGTCCTCATTTGTAAGTCGCTTTGGATAAAAGCGTCTGCTAAATGACTAAATGTAAATGTAATATTAGAAACTGGTAGCACAAATCTACTTCCAAAAAACATGCAAGTACAGTAGTGAAGTTTGAACTTCATACACCTCCCTAACAAAATATGATTAGTGCACATAAGTGAATGAGACCAATTTGTTTCACTGATTGTCCACGAATGAATAACAAAGATATAGGACTTTAACTCTATATACGGTTGCTATCATAATCTAATATCAACCCGGACCATGAAAAAGAAGATACAACTACAAAATGCAGTTATCAAATTCTTGACAATTTATTCATCACTAGTTCAGTTCTTTGCAACATCCTATTGTCACAGACAAGATACCAAACTGCATTCAACCATACATGTAAACCATGCACAGAACAGACCAAAAGAAAAACAAGATTACATCTGTTAGCCTCAAAAGAGACAAAACCTTAGTGTTCAAATTTCAACCTCGACAAAAAAATTATAAAAAAGCAAGGCAATTTTACATTTACTTTCAGTACAGAAATACACTAGAGACATGTAAAACAGGCTTGTTTCAATCCGAAATGCAGCTTTTAAGTATATACTCAATGAAGGTATCAGCACACTGCATTCTTGATGTAATACTGACTGATCAATCCCAAAAATTCAGAACAGGCCACTTTCAGATCTTTTACTTGAGGTAGAATATTCTTTGAAAATATCAAAAATAATCATCTTTCTCTAGGTCTTTAAAGTGGAACAATTTAAAAAAAAAAAAAAGTCTAATTTATTTTATTTCTAGTGTCACAAACCTGGGGTTCTATTGCTGTGACACTTATCTTTCAGTGCAATAAACCACAGAAAGAAACAAAGCATTCACAAGTAAAAGTGTGCGTGTGCTTTAGTAAGCCTTTGACACAATAGTAGCACCAGATTAATACTGTAATCCACAATCTGTGGACTGACCAGTGATTAACAGTAACAGTTTAATATCACGCCCAATCTACCTCTTCCCCATTCTGTAAACGTTCTCTCATCTTTCTGAGATTAAAGCATACACATTCGTAACGTACACACACATTTTGAAATAATATCTAAAAAGCCATTGTCTGGAGATTATGGAATATGATAAAAACTTAAATTGCAGATTGAATTAAATTTAAGATCACCCAGGGCTAGAAAACTACGAAAACTGATTGATTGAATCAAATTCCAACAAAAGGAAGTAAAAGCTGTTGTGACTTACATCGTCTTTGAGGACAAAACTGATGCTTTTCTTGAATAAAATTTCAGGCATTCATTTAAAGTATCCTTTAAAATGGTTTCAGAGCCGTGTTCTAGAGCCAAACGGTTGGAATGTACGATTTTAAAGGGACGATTCACCCAAAAAAGAAAATCCTGTCATTTTATATTCACTCTTATGTTGTGTTTCAAACTTATATTACGGAGTTTTTTCTGTGGAACAAAAAATGAAAAAATTGTCAAAAAAAAAAAAAGGGTTCAAAACGAGTCTTCACTTAAGAAGACAGAATATAATAATTGTATTTTAATTAAGATTTTTTTTTGGCATTTTGTAGCAGCCCCTGTTGTCTTCTACTTTTATTATATGGAAAAGAGTGGCCAAGATACTTTTTTAAAAAAAGAAGAAAGTCCGTCTTGCAAATTTGGAACAACATGAGTAAATATGGCAGAATTTTTATTTTTTGGAGGAAATAATTCTTCCAAGATCATCCAGCTACAAAATTTGGCTCCTGCTGTAAACTAATGTCCTTCACAGAGAGGCTATACTTTTTATAGATATGCTTTCATCCTTAATGAACTACACTATTGTGCATTCAAACACAGTGCTCAGAGATCCTTAATAGATGCTTTTTCAAATTCTTGCTCTTAGTGATGTTTTCTATCGATAACATTTATGGTCTCCAGACTTGCCTTTCATATAAGACTTGAGATAAAACAAGAAGAGCATTAACAAGTGTCCCAATGTGGTGCATGATTCAGCCTATAGACAGTTAGATGCACAGACGTACGAACATACATACACAGAAAAGACTGTCAGCTGGACAAACGAGGCATTCTGATTGGCATATTAAGGCTGGGTGTAGGCTCCGAATGGTTGTCGAGCACAGTGCATCATGATTGGTGTGGTCATCTGATAGTGATCAGATCCTTGCTGGTCCATGCAGAACAGGAACACATTCTGATTGGTCCTTAAAGTGAAATAAATCTTGCTTGGTCTATTTAAAGAAGGATCTGGGCCACGTAGGGCGAGTGTGTGCTGGCCACTGCGGCAAGCAACGGAATGTCACTGGACTCAATCCTGAAAAAAAAGAAATAGATAAATGCATACATTTGCACGTTTCTTCTCACACTTACTGCCACAATTACCTAAAAGTCAAAATTACCTTTTTTATTTTTATTCTGATGTAAACTCAGAATTCAGAGAAAGTCTGATTTTTCAGAAAAATTTTGAATTGTGAGAAGAAAGTTAGAATTGCGAGATGTAAACTCAGAATTGCAAGAATTCGGTTACGAATTTCTTTTTTATTTTTTTTATTCTATGGCAGAAACAGGCTGCCGTAATAACAGTGGATAGCTATACACACGCATTATCACCTAATTTTGGACACGCTTACCAAACTTACACCTGAACTCACCAAACTTAGTGTGAGAAACGAAACAGAAGCCTTATTAGAAGTTAGTGTACCATCAGAATGATTTTGATATTTCATGGTAAAGAAATGTACACTGTAGGATCAGAGTCAGAGTAAGTAAGTAGCGTGATCTTACCCCAGTGCCAGCCCCAGTTCTTTTACATGGACCCTGGTTTGTCCTCTCAGATATTCTGCTAAGGATCGACTCTTAAAATACACCTCCTGTAACCGGTCTTCCAGATGCATCACACACTGAGATGATGTTTACACACACACACACACACACACACACACACACACACACACACACACACAAACACACACAAACAAAAGAAATCAGAATCTGATTTTAATTATATTTTAATATATTTTAAAATGCAATTTATTTTTTGTGATGGCAAAGCTGAATTTTCAGAAGCCAGTAATGCCGTTAATTCTTCAGAAATCATTCTAATATGCTGATTTGCTGCTCAAGAAACAATTATAATTTTTTTATCAATGTTGAAAACAATTGTGCTGCTTAATATTTTGTGGAAACTGCATGTGATACTTTTTTCAAGATTCTTTGATGAATAGAAAGTAGTTTTTGTATCAATGTAAAAGACCTTACCATCAATTTGAATCAATTTAACACACCCTTGCTGAATAAAAGTATCAATTTCTTTAAAAAATCTTATAGACCCCAAACTTTTAGTGTAGATAACCATACTTAACACTGCATTGTAAATATGCTTGCATGTGTCTGTTAAGGATACTTACTAGTGCTGTGTTCAAAATATCGATACGACGATATATCGTCACAGATATTTGACGATACGAGTATCGATACAGCTGGCCCTGTATCATTGCACACGCAAAAGAGAAGGTCTGCACACATCCAAAAACGTATTTTAAATGCAAAATTGATTTCCGTGCGCTCGAAATACTTTTTTCTTTGCGAAATGAACATTTTCTCCACAAAACTCAAAATCGCGCACGTGCAAAATGCACTTTTGTGCACTCAAAATATGATCTTTTGCGCACAGAATTGTGGCAGAAATGTAAGCCCATACATGTACGGCTAGAGTCGCTTTGAACTCATGCATCTTCGGAAGCGGAGCTGCACGGAAAGTTACAAAAAATGTTGTGCACACCGCCACGCGAAACGACGTCGCGCGCACTCAAAGCGAACTTGCTGACGCTCGAGTATAAATCAGTCATAAATTAGCCTTGCGAGTGTGTGCGTTAGATACAGTGAAGACAGCGCGTTAGTTTAGAACTCTTCTAATTTTTTTTTTTATTGTAGAGAGTGTGTTAATTTGTGCAATGATAACCTACCAGCAATGTAAATTATTTTTTAAACATATTAGAATGAGTACATTACAATATAAATTTATTAGAACAAGTACATTATTATTTATGGGCTTAAAAACAAGATGCAAACAATCAGAATAGTGTACCTGGTGGGGAGTGCACAATGTAAACATGAAACATATGCCATTACCTATATTATACTGTGGTACAGTTATGGAGGCCCTTCATAATGCAGAGGTCAGCTGCCTGCTCTGCCAATAGTTAGAAATGGCACTATAGTAAGCAGTGTTTAATAAACAGCTGTTCTTCTAAATTCTGCTGAGGTGAAATTCAGTGCAGTCATGTATCGTGATATGTACCGTATCGTGGCCTATGTACCGTGATATGTATCGTATCGTGACTTTGCTGGTGATACACAGCCCTAATACTTACAAAGTCGGAGGCGATGTTGAGCGCAAACAGCTGCAGAACTGATGTGATGAGCGTGTGTACGAGGTTGGACACCATCACGTCCCTGCCCAACCGCCCGCCCTCGCACACGCGCCTTTGACTCGTCACCACCTGCACACTCAATCGATCTGTATCCGCCACAATGCACAGAGCCTCGGCCACTGGTTCATCCAGCGCCGGATGCTGCACAAACACAGAGGTACATTCTTCACCCTAATGTAGGCTATTTAATAAGCTAAAAAAATATTTTCATTACATTTTGTGAGAAAATTTAAACCTTAAACAAGAAAGCAAATTTAATTACATGTGCAAAACATAAAAACTAAGAGAGCATGCTTATGGCACTCAACATACATGAATCATTTCCTATATGCAGTATTAACTGTAAATGTAATTGTACTTACGAGAACAGTGTGTTCAAGGTCAGCCATGAGGCATTGTTTGAGCCTGAGATCAGAACTGATGCCATGCAAGGCAAAGTCAGGCATGTACTGAGGACAGTACCCACCCAGCAAAGAATGCCCGAAATGATTAACACTGGCTCGACTCTCTACCTGACAACTACATAGAAACAAGCACACTAGGTTAGTGCAGTCCTCGTGGCTCTTTTCACAACAAAGGGCCAAAAGTGCAGAGGGCCGAAAGTAAATACAGCATTAAATTCAATTATATTAGATTACATTTTACATAAAATAATAATAAACTCTCTACATTTCAAAAACAAAACAATGATAAAACAAAAAGGGAATTATAAATGCATGTATGCTTAAATTATTTTTTTCACCATTTTCACCTACTTTGAAATGGGTCATATCATTGAAGAATATCTTATGGCTAAACGTTTTACATTGATGCACAACAAAATAGAAGGTATTGACCATACAAGTACTACAATCAGAAAAGGGAATAAAAACAAAACTTAATCAGAAAAATGACTTTTTGGACTTTTAAATTTTAATTTAAACTATTAAGATCAGACCGAAATGATCAAGGACTTATAATAAACTGATAATAAACGTATGATGCTCGTTTCTAATGTTGGTAGCCTTCAGATGGATATGCAGAGAACCTTACATTTAATGTAATTTTACGGTAAAATTCTGTTACATGCCGTTTTTTTTTTTTTACTGTAAATTTCACCGATTTTTTTTACAGGGCATCCTATTTTCTCATCATAACTGGGTGGGTCAAGTTTTTGAACACTGAATAGGCAACACTGACACGTAGATGTGAACAATAACATGTTCACATGTATTTATCTGTCTGACATTGCAGCTTAGTTTCAATAAATGGTCTTTTTGGACTCTTGGAGAATGTTACGGTATGTTTTCACAGTACAATGACTCCCAAAAGATCAAATATAATTTTATACCTCATCATATGACCCCTTTAAATTAGTAGAGTGTTCATGTTGAAATGAGTTTGCACTTACCTTGGTAGTGGTAACTCGTACTCGTTTTGTTCTGTAGCCCCGTACAGTTCTCGCGGCGATGTTTCCTCATCATCACTGTCACCTAGAGCACTATCTGAGCTCTCCTTCCTCCGTATGTCACTCAAAAGCCTTTGATGCAACTTCCTGTCCAATCCCCGTCCACACCCTGCCCCAGTCAGACCCCCAGCTTGTCCGTCATTCGCTGTCTCACTGGGACTGCCAATGTGAAACTGTACCCGATGCAAAAGAGGACTCTGATTGGCCAAAATGTGCTCTAATCCGCCCCCAACAGAGTCACTGTCTTCTCCAAAACATTCCTGTCCCATTTCTGTAAATTCAGGCCTGACAGCGGTCGATTCCGAGCTGGGGGATGGACTGGTTGAGTTTGTATCAGTCAAAAGTATCTCATGGTTTTGTTCTACTGAGGTGCCCGGAATAGCATTACCCAAGTCAGAGTTCAGTGCTTTCTCACTCGTTCCAATAACGCAAGCAGTAGGCTTTAATGGGTCTGGTTTAGGGGGACATGTTTTTTCAGGGGTGGGATCAGTGGTTTGAGAGGTGCAGGGACTGGCTGGATTGTCCATCTGTCCTTGTGGTTGCACATGTTCCTGCAGGTCTGAGCAGCGAATGAAGTAGGACAGAACATACAAGACTCGCTGTACCAGTTCCCTCTTGCGTCCCACAACCACCGTTCGACACACTCTCACAGGAGAGCCCAAAGCACCATACAGATCACCTAAACAACAACACAAAACTGGGCAATCATTGCAAATGAAAACATATCCTAGACTAGTACTTTAAAGTTTCTTTTTGAAACTTTTGAGACTTTTTGAATGTGAAAGTTCAAAGTCGTCAAGTTAAGTCATTTAAGGAAATGAAATCACAGTAAAAACGAGACTGCAAGTAGACCAGGGGTCTTCAACAGAGGATCTGGCAATTACTGTTTGACCTCAAACTAATTGTCATGAAACAAGTGAAATGTACATTAAACAAAAATACAATATTAAGTTTAAGTTAAGTTCAGCGAAATGTTTCATTCTCCCACATTACAATATAATATTGTATATAAAATATATAAAGTATATTTAATAGTATTTAATTACTAAAATATTTAACATTTAAATATGACTGTACATCATTAATTATTTTATTTAAGCATCAAAGTATATATACACACATATAAATAAGTATAATATATATGTGTATGTGTGTGTATATACATTTTATATAGAATTATATAAAACTTATATTGAATTGCAATTTATGTAGAGAAAAAGGAATTGCTACTATAAATCTGCTTTTCATATTTTTATTGTTTGAGTATTTCTAACTTAAGTGCTAACCAATATGAAGCTGTTTTTGCACTGCTGCCACACTGATGATTCATTTAATATGAATTATTATAATTCTATATTCATTCTCACCTAACTGAGCCCACAGTGGGTTGTACGGGTGAGATTTTGCCAACAGATCCACCGTCTGGGAGGCAGGTTTCTGGCATGCAGATTTGATTGGCGGCAGGCTGCTGGGCATCACCGTGGAAACCCAGGCTAAGTGATGCGTAAGAACAGCAGTAAGGAGAGCTGCGAGAAACCTAGACAAAAATGAAAGGAATAGTTGACGAGTGTCCCATCAGAACTCAACATGATAAGGCAATCAAGAGGAAGTTACTCATGATGACTGACTGCCGCACAGAAAACCTGGCCAATTGTGTTTCCTGACACGCTTAGGGTCAGTGATGGGGATGGAAACAAATAACTGATTTTCCAATTATCCCTTTGATTACACAGTACTAGTAAAAGAACAGGGTTAAAGATTTGAAGTAATATGTTTAGTTGAAAGGTTAAAGATCACTGACTGGCTCTTGGCTCCGTGTTCCATCAGCAAACTCATCTCCTTCAGGAAGCGCTGACACAGTAGGTTTCGCTCGGTACTTTGGGATATCATGGAAAGCCAGACTGGCTCGCTGATGCGGGGAGCCATGTACAGGTTCCACACTGTCATCCTACATCCAACAGAGAACCAGATGAGACTCAAACCCAAGCTCGCACTGACTCGTATCTCTCAAACTTGTAACAATATCCTCTGCACCAAGTTGGTCATGAATCATAAAGGAAGTTTAATACTGTAGGGGGCACCAAGATTCAAAAGAGTTTTAAAGTGGCAGAACAAGAAGCACATTAAAACACTGCTGTAATTTTTTCATTCAAATACCAAGATCACTCCCTTGCTGACTGCTTAAATTCGTCATTATCATTACTGCTACAAAAATAGTCAACTGCAGTTAAAGAGATCATATATGCACAGAGTGTAATGATATCAGCACCTGAATTCTCCCAGTGCTTCCATCACTCGACACAGATAGACCTGCACTCGTTGACTGGACTCTGCTATCCTTCTGCACACAATCATTGCCTGAAAAATAAACCAACAGACAGTTTAAAATCAGGGCTAAAGTTTAAATGTTTAACAAAAAAATAAATTAGGCACATTATAAGTTTGATCCAGGAAGTCACAATCCTCTTCAGCATAAATCTCAATGATCTCAATTTTTATGCAACAGATGACAACAAACTTTTGACAGGATAAGACGGTTTGAGTAAATTCTGAGTAATGACTCTGTGGGCTGACCATACATCCACTTTTTACCGGACATGTCCTGGCCAGGATTTCTAAATTGCCTAAAATATCCAGTTGTGGATTGGTTTGCCTATTGTTTTCATACTTGTTGAAGATAATGACTGAACAGTGGATTTACCAATAGCGTGCATGCATCAGGGTTATTATAGCAAATCAAAACTAAAACCATAAAAACATTGTTACTTGAAATAAATGTTAACTGAAAATATATATATTAAAATCATGAACACATTTTATTTTTAACTGAAATAATTACTGAAAACTATATAGACATATTTAAAAACGACAAATTTACTAAAACTTTGAAATTAACAGCAGAAAATATAGAAATAAAATCTTATTCGAAATATTAAGAAAAACTATAATAGTATCTCAATGATACTAATATAACACTGGCAGGCATTACACATCATTGATCAATCAAGGTGTGCGAGAAGGTGCTCTACAGAGAACTGTCAAAATACGCGTACATATAAATATATGAGTACTATAGTGAGCATGTCACTAGCAAAAAAGAAAAGAAAAGGAGTATGTATGGTCACCCTAGATTCTGCATAAAAGCTGTACTAAAATATGTCTGACCCACCCATATAAACAGAATAAGTTGGCATAATAACCCAGTATCAGTCTAGTTGGTAATTTCCTTTGGTCTATAAAATAATGATTGTTAAAGGGATAGTTCACCCAAAAATGAAAATGTGATGTTTATCTGCTTACCCCCAGGGCATCCAAGATGTAGGTGACTTTGTTTCTTTAGTAGAACACAAACAAAGATTTTTAACTCAAACCGTTGCAGTCTGTCAGTCATATAATGGAAGTGAATGGGAATCCCGGCTTTGAGAGTCAAAAAAACATACACAAACAAAACCAAATTAAACCCTGCGGCTCGTGACGATACATTGATGTGTAAAGACATGAAACGATCGGTCTGTGCAAGAAACTGAACAGTATTTATATAGTTTTTTACCTCCGATTCACCGCAATGTCCGAACTGTCCTGAGCGCGCTCTCAACAGCCGACGCGTGACGCGTCTTCTTCATTGACACTCTATCTACAATCTCAATTAGGAGTGTCAATGGTTCATTTGAGAGATAGGTGGCGGTAATGCACTTATAAGTCTGCGATCCGCCGTAAAGCAAGAAGACGACGACGATGTGTCACGCGCCGGCTGTTGAGAGTTCAGACATTGCAGTGAATCAGAGGTAAAAATGTAGTTTAATTGAGTTTTAGTGTCTTTACACATCAATGTATCATCACGAGCGGCAGGGTTTAATTTGGTTTTGTTTGTGTATGTTTTTTTGACTCTCAAAGCCGTGATTCCCATTCACTTCCATTATATGACTGACAGACTTCAACGGTTCGAGTTAAAAATCTTCATTTGTGATCTACTAAAGAAACAAAGTCACCTACATCTTGGATGCCCCTGGGGGTAAGCCAATAAACATCAAATTTTCATTTTTGCATGAACTATCCCTTTAAGTCCATTTTCTACACCATGCTTTACTAAAAAACAAACAAACAAAAAAACTGATTTTTTTAATGATAAATTCCTATGAGTTTTTGCAAATAAATCCACAAACATCTGAGAAAGAACTGTAATACATTGTTGAATCGATTTGTTTGCACCCCCTCCCTACTCCCTATGGGCGATACCACTTATTTTGTTTTCGATACGATACCGATATTTTTCAAGGCAGTATCGTCGATATCGATACCGATTCGATACTTCTGCACTAAACTTTTAAATGATGAAATGTATTAAATTATTAAATTACTAAGAGTAAAATGGGTAATAATAAGCACTTAACTTTGTTTAAAATGCATTTTAACATTCAATATGCCTTATATATTTCAACGTTCAATTTAAATAACTGTAATTGCACAAACTAAGTAGGCTACAATTTCAGTTTGTTTACTGTGAAATAACTCTGTCCTTCTGTCCTCTGATAAGCATTGTTCAGGCCTGCCGTTACCAAAAGCTTTAATGCTTTCTTATGATACTTTTGGGAAAAGCAGCCCTGTTTGAATGCACTGTCAGCAGTGAGTGAACGCTCTCTGTGATGGATTGGTTCTGTCTTGCAACATTTGCGTGTGTTCAGATGAGCAGGGAAATAGTTCTATCCTACACAATTACTCGCTAACAAAGGTTATTCGTCCAATTCGATGCATATTGTACGCATTATATTTTTGTTAAATTAACAAAATCACTGGTAAATAAAACACACCTTAGTATCGATATTTTTTGTTTGAGTATCGATACTTTCGATACTCGCGTCAGTATCGATATATCGATACTTTGGATCGATACGCCCATCCCTACTCCCTACTAGAATACTAGAATAATAGGATAAATCACTCTCCTGCTCTTTCACTTACCCTCTCGATGGCAGTCTTGAGTTTGTTCATGTGAGACTCAAACAGAGGAAAGTGTGAGAAGAAAAACTCCTGAAAATTGTGGTTTTCCTCTTCTCTCTCCGGCAGGCTGATGATGATGCTGATGGCAATCTTCTTCCTCTGGATCATCGCGGGGTTAGAGTTGCAGCTCTCATCAGACAAGTTGAACATTTCTTCAGTGTTCCTGATGCACAAATGACCACATCTATCTTATCTGCCCTCTGTATATTCTCATCTCTTACTTACTCATATAAATATTCAGGCTTACCAACGAGGCATGGGGCCATGCTGAAGACTGGTGGCCTGGCTACGGAGCCATCGCCGTTGGTAACTGCTGGACAAACCACTACTGAAGGAGGAGCCAGGTGACGGTAGGGGAGTGGCCAACAAACTGCTCAGAGATGCTGCAGAAGGGAAAAGTGAGAGTTCACAGGCAACATTTGTTAAATGACAGAAAATGTGTCTTAAAATTGGAAACAAAATGCATGAGGTCAATATTCCTTTAATGGTAGCAAATAAAATGCACAACAAATTATTTACACTTAAATAAACACTTTTACATGTAATATTTACACAAAATTCACACAAAAAATATTTTTGTGAAAAATAAAGCCAAAGCACATTACAGTTTTCACATTACAGCAAATAACTGATAAATGGCCAATATTAGTATCCTATGCTATTTTAGGTAAATAAATAAAACACTAAAAACTCAAATTTAGTCATTTTAAATGCTACATGTGAATTTAGACGTCACAACATTACAATGTACAGTATGAAAAAAATGGATATGGATTTATTTTGAAATTTGATAAAGATTACATTTAACAGTAATAACGTTATTAGTTTATTATATACTTATGATACAAAAATACTGTGCATCCCTAAGTCAATATGTTTATAGCTATATATCTAATAATAACATATGTGTTTTTAATATTACAAACATTTTAATTTTGAGAATTGAGGCTTGTTACCCTCATATTGTAAGAATGCACAAACATTACACTACCATTCAAAAGTTTGGGGTTGCTAAGATTTTTTTTCTTTTTTGAAAGAAGTCTCAAATACTTACCAATGCTGCATGATTTCATCTATTTGAAAAATAAATCTTTTGTAACATTATAAATATATTTGATATTTAATTCATCCTTGCTAAATAAAAGTATCAACTTCCTTAATAAAAAAATCTTACTGACCCCAAACTTTCAAACAGTAATTTATGTTCAATGTAGCCATTCGCTTGCAATGTTTAGGCCAATTCGAATCTGCATTAAGTATGTTCTGACTTTGTCCTTTTGTGTTCATACCCGAGCGAGCAATGCCACTGTCTCCATCCTCACTGTGTCCTCTGCTTGGCATGTCCACTGGATTACTGTGGGCTGGAAAAACAGAGTCATTACACCCTCACATTTAGCTGCATTCTGAAGAACGTAAAGAAGTGTGTCCGCATTGCTTTACTTAGTAGGTGATTTGATGGAGGTGCTGGGTTCCCGAGCCCGTTTCAAGAATGCATGCAGGTTAGTATCCCACACAGACATACACACCCACACACCAAGCACCTGCAAAAGTGTGGACCCATCTGAAAGCGACTAGTTAACCCCTGTAACCTAGAAACCTAGCAGTCACATCCGTAACAATGCTGCTTACCCACAATGACTGTTCACACTTGGTATTAACATCAATTTCACTGATCCAATCAAGTGTGCAGCGCTAAATACAGATGTAAACAGAAGCAAAATATTTTATAAACCAATCACAGGAGATGCAGATCAGTATCCAATGTAAAAAAAAAACATTGTTTAAACTGTTGTGATTGCATCACCAATGCATGTTAAGTTAAAACCAGGTGTAAAACCAGAGGCAGAAGAAGTGCATTATGTGAGGGGCCTAAAATCAATCAAGGGCTAAATAGTCAGACAGAGCACACCGCAGAAAATAAAACATAGCGAAAGGGTATGTGCATGTGAGATCAACACATGCTCACGCTGCTTCAGCATTCTACACAAACCTGCAAAGAAAGATGCGCTCCGAGCCAGGCAGAGCATAGGAGCGCTACACACGCGGCAAACTCCTGAAAAGAGGAGTGGTATATGGCCATGTTGAGAAACAGTATGTTTGGGTGAAAATCAGAGAAAGATTTAAGAAAACAGTCAATGAATGTTGACAGATGAAAGTGATGTTCTGAAACCTAGTGAGCTGCCGTGCTGCCTACACTGCTTTCTAAGGCGGCATCCCCACTAAACTGGAACCTCTTTAGTGACCAATTTGGAATACTGCATGCTCACACTCACAATAGTGTGCTACAGGGATGACGTATTTTTGTAGGCCAACACATAAAAAAAGTTCGCATTTTAGCACTTCAGGACAGTCAGTGGGTTTTTGGTTGAATGCCTGAAATAAGATCTGTTGTTAACACGAGCTCAAGATAATTTCACTTTTTTCCTGAGATCCAAAGTACATCAGTAATTCCCCCTTTTTTTAAAGGGGACATTGGATGCTCATTTTCCACACGTTGGTATGATTCTTTAGGGTCTTCGTGAAATGTCTGTAACATATTTGTCAAAATGTTGGTGCATGTCTCTTTAAAAAGCTACAGCTCACCCCACCCCTCTCTTCTGTGGGACGTGTCGACCTAAGACATATACATATATATATATATATTGTGTATTTATATATACACATAAAAACATACACAGTACAAACCTTTACACAAACTTTTATTTTGGATGCGATTAATCGTGATTAATTGATTTGACAGCACTTATATATATATATGTATATGTGTGTGTGTGTGTGTGTGTGAGTGCATCTGCTTGTCGCTATTCTCTGATTGGTGGACATTTCTTTGCAAAATCAATTGTGTTGAAAATGAGAAATCAAATGAGAAAATGTATGGGATTTTACTTCCAGAACCACCAGCTTTTTTTTTTTCTCTCCATTGAGCTTGTTGCAGTGTATTCTGGTACTGCCTTCAGTGTGAAAGGTACATGCAATGCTGGGAAAAAACAGCATAGTTAAGATACCTACCTTTTGGAACAGCCTTAGTGACAGGAGTAAAGTTATGAGGACTTAAAAAAAGCTGTCTATGTACAGTAGGCACTCGGTAGCTCACTAGGATTTTGGTGTGCAAAAATGAGAAGGAAAGAAGAAGTGTTTGCACTAATCTTACCTATGCTGCTGGTGCGACTAGGAAAAGTTTGGCTCATCGACTCAAAACTGTCTTGTAGCCTTTAAAAAAAAGAAACGGAGTCAATGAGAGATAGAGAGCAGACTCATGTAGCAGCAGATGGCAGATGAGAAGAAACAAGAGACGTACGTATTTGTACTTCCAGAGGTGCTGCTTCCAAACCGGGTAGAAAAAACCTTACTGACCATCAGCTGCGGTGGAGACCTGTCACACACACAATAACAGTATTATCACATACACACTGCTAAGATCTTGACTCCTACAAAATATATTACGTTTACACAAAATACTCACCGAATGTGGTGAATTTTAAGCGTTGAACCCTTATAACTCATGGAAACTGAGCCAAACATCATTTCTCCAATCATGTTCACATCTGAAGCCGGTCTGGTATACTAAAACAAACGAGTCAAATGTGACATAAAAGTGCTCTAAGAAGCCATACATACACAGTGCATGTTAGAATTTTGTTATTAGATTATGAATGGGTTTCTGCACTTTTGACTGAAAGTTCCATGATACTGGCTAAAACACAAACCTGATATGAAGGAGGCTTGTCTTTGTCGCCTGCTTGGCTGCCGATATGGCAAGCACCACTCCGGTTGGGGGGAGTTTTGGTTTCATCAGCAGTCTTTAAGATAAAAGAAACGGTCACAATTGGATTCTTACAGGCTGATATAGAATCAAGTAGATGTTTGCAACAAAAATGTGTACTATTTATCCATATTAAGGAATAATGTATGCTACCATGCAAAATGTAGGGATCAGTAAGATTTTATTTTTTTAATGAATACTTACTGAATTCATTTCTTACGTACTGAATTAAGGATGCATTAATTCAGCAAGATTTCATTAAACATATAAAAAGTGGAAGGAAAGATGTTTTCATTGTTATAAAAAAAATCTAAATTTTCAAAAGTTCAAATAAATAATATATACGTATCAAATTAATGTTTTTTTTTTTTACTTCCTATTCAAAGAATCCGGAAATAAGTATCATGGTTTCCACAAAAATATTAAGCAGCACAGCTGTTTTTTACATTCATAATAATAGGAAATGTTTTTTTGAGCAGCAAATCGGCATATTAAAATGATTTCTGAAGGATCATGTGACACTGAAGACTGGAGTAATGATGCTGAAAATTCTTGTGAATACATCTTCTGAATAATTACATTTTAAAATAGTTTCCTTAATTTTTGATCAAATGAATGCAACTTTGTTAACATGAGACTTCTTTTAAAAACATTTACAAAAATATTACCAACCCCAAACCTTTGAATGGGAGTGTATTTAAATTTTCTTCTCTGTACACATAAGTTGAAAATGCTAATGCTATGCATAATATAAGTTATCTTTTTCTAACCTGCAGGTCAAAACCCTATTTAAACTAAATCTTTGAGCAAATAATGCTAACACAAACATGAGCAATGGTATGAAAGTGTTTGCAAGAGCAATATTTCACCACAAGAGACAATTCAATAGCAATACACACACACACAGTTAATTCAGTCTCTCTCTCTTTGTGACAAAAGCTGAAGAGCTGAATAAACAGACCAATCATGTGACAACTTACTGACAATAAATCACACTCTGTTCAGAGAGAGAGAGAGCCAGAGACATTCAATAACAACTGTCTAGATGGATGAGTATTGATGGGTGGACATTAAAAAATATACAGCTTTGATTTAAGTCTATGTTCAAGCAATAGGAGAATTTAATATTACAACATTGAAAATATAGTATGCATATTGTCAAGAAAAATCAGTTTACATAAGAAAACACTTTTGCAGTAAATAATTAAACAGGCCATTCCCCCCCCCCCCGAGGTCTAGGGTTTTTCCTTTTTGCCAAAAAGTCATAACTTGACTTGTTTTTTGACCATTTTCCTTTACGTGTGAAATGTGAACCTCTTAAAAAAAAAAACTTCAGCTGAACTTTCCTAATGATGGGATCCTTCAGAAGGACATGCAGAGCTGCAGGTGCTACACAGTCAGGAACGTTTCAAGGTTTCCCACATTTTATTCTTATGGTAAGTTCTTCTGTGTATTTTTTATTTTTTTTGCATGTGCTAAGAATAATAGAATATATCCTACGTCGTCCACCTTCCAGAAAAAGTCTGATTTCCCAAGACATGACCCCCTTAAAACATCCTTAACATGAAAAGTGTATAATAAAAACATTTCTAAATTATATCAAAACTTCATATTCAATCAAACCTCAGTAAACAGTAATATCAATCCAAGATACAACACACCCACACACACACTCTCATGAGTGTTAAATGCTTTGACCCAGTTAGCGGAGCAGTCACACCTGTCATGAGATCCAAGCAAGCTGGATTAGAGCATGTGACTCCTCCCAAAACAGTGCTCACAGCCCCCCCCCACCCACACACACACACACACACACACACACACAGACCACATTAGCAACTTACCGGCTCGGATGTGTCAAGTTTATGTATTGCTTTGGAGTCAAAGAGAACCTGGCGCCCTCTTTTCTCACAGTCTTGATACACTATCAACCTGATCTGAGCTAGATCAAACTCAGCAGATGCCCAACTAAAAGAGAGAGAAACACAGGTGACTGTGATCAAAACATTCATAAAGAGAAAACAATACTTACTCTTAGTCTACAACATCTATTGTCCATCCCAAAAACAACAACATTTGAGCCAAAAATAGGTTTCTGACCCTTTCAAAATTACTAACTTTCAATTATTCAACAAATAAAATAAGCAAAATATTGGAAATTCACCCTTTATTTATCCTCATCCTGCGAATTTTCAGTAAATTAGAGCTATTGATTAAATTTGGAGTGGGTAAAATTTTTTGATGTTTGAGTCTCTTGATTAAAAATGAGTTAAAACAGTAATATTTGGAAATATTATTATATTTTAAAATAACCGTTTACTATCTTAATATATTGTAAAATGTCATTTATTCCTGTGAGGCAAATCATAATTTTCAGCATCATCACTCCAGTCTTCAGTGTCACATGATCCTTCAGAAATCATTCTAATATGCTAATTTACTGCTCAAGAAACATTTCTTATTATTATTCATGTTGTCCCTTAATATTTTTGTGGAAACTGTGATGCATTTTTATCTGGATTCAATGATAAATAGAAAGTTTTGTTTAAAATATACATTTTGTGTAAAAGTCTTTACCGTATTATTATTGTTATTCTTAAATCTTACTGACTCCAAACTTTTGAACTGTAGTGTACATTTTGGTCTTTTCCTCACACAAAACTATTTTATGGCTTCTGTACACTTGGACTATAGCGCATGACTTGTTTGTACTATATTTATAGTGCTATATTTGTCATTTCTGAGCGTGGCACTCCCTGTTCATCATTTACTGACACTGCATGTAAAAGAGGAGCATGGACATTCTTCAAAATATATTTTTTGTGTTGCATAGAAAGAAAATCTGGAAGGACATGAGAGCGAGTAAATAATAACAGCTTTCATCAAACCCATAAAACAGCAAGAACATTTAATGAAGCAACAAATATTTAATTGCACCATACATAAAAAGCAAAAACGCATTTTCTTCACACAAATACACACCCCTACCTGCTTTCCATCCTGGTGTATGATAAAGTGATCAGACATTCATTTCCAGCCTCCAAGCACTACATATACATCCAAAATAGATATAAATAACAATCACAAGATGCCCGAAACTGGCCAAGAGAGCGGCTGAAGGCACGAAATGTGGACCATTCACACAGTTGCATGTTTCTTCTATTAAACATCAGATGATCACCATAGTCTAACAACGGAAAACACAGGCACACAGTCTCCATCTCCGCTTGTATGAGCTCTGAGTGCAAAAAAAGTCACACAAAACCTCACACACACACACGCGCGCACACGGTGTAGGCAGCACCCCTTCTCTCTGACTGCGTAGATGATGCAGTGTGTTTGTTTTATCAGTGTCGATGTGTGAATTGGCAATCACTATGTGTCTGCTTGCATCGAGTGTACAGACTTTGTATATGGACTGCTTAGTGTTAGTGTGTGTTAGACTGTATGTTGCTCAGTCTTTTGTTACCCAGCTTCTGGACAATACATTGCTATGCACAGGCTCTCTTTATCCTTTACATACATAAATAGATATAAATAACAATCACAAGATGCCCGAAACTGGCCAAGAGAGCGGCTGAAGGCACGAAATGTGGACCATTCACACAGTTGCATGTTTCTTCTATTAAACATCAGATGATCACCATAGTCTAACAACGGAAAACACAGGCACACAGTCTCCATCTCCGCTTGTATGAGCTCTGAGTGCAAAAAAAGTCACACAAAACCTCACACACACACACGCGCGCACACGGTGTAGGCAGCACCCCTTCTCTCTGACTGCGTAGATGATGCAGTGTGTTTGTTTTATCAGTGTCGATGTGTGAATTGGCAATCACTATGTGTCTGCTTGCATCGAGTGTACAGACTTTGTATATGGACTGCTTAGTGTTAGTGTGTGTTAGACTGTATGTTGCTCAGTCTTTTGTTACCCAGCTTCTGGACAATACATTGCTATGCACAGGCTCTCTTTATCCTTTACACATACACACACACACACACACACACACACACACACAGAGGGCACAGGCTCTCTTTATCCTCTCTTACTGAGACTTTGCGTGAGTGTGTGTGTGTGCCAGTATATAAGAGAGAGACAGAGGGATGGAGGGAAAGAGAGAGAGAAAAAAACTTGCTTGGGATGGTACTGCCACTACACACTGACAAACACAAACACACAGACCCTAGAAGTTATATTAGTAAGAACTCCTTATAAACACAATGGTTTTTACACTAAAATAACACTATATCCTAAACCAAACCCTTACAGAATCCAGTTTACATTATATTTGTTTCACTATATTTGAGGACATTTTCAAACATTCGTCCCTCATATTTGTAGCCAAATCTGTACACACACACACACACACACACCTAACTAACAGTGATTCAGTTTTAAAAAGCAAAGAACAACTCTTAATGAATTAGCCTTTATGACACATCCTTTTTGGGATTTTCCTCATACTTCAGGTCACATGAACATCAAACCGCTGTCATATGATCACTGTAGTTCACACAGACACACACTGATTGACAGCTAGAACCATTTCAGATGAGCTGAATGAACTCGGTCAACATTCATTCACAAATTCTAAATAATAAATACAAAGATATTACAGTTGCAGAAATGAATCTCAAAAAGAGGTTTATGAAATTAATGTTTTGTTTTTATTGAAATTATTTAATTTTAAATATGAAATTAATGTTTTAATTAAGAATTTTTAATATAGATATTGCAATATTAACATTGCATTATTTCATAATTACATAAATATAGATATACAAATAATTTTATGAATACATAAATGAAAATGAAAGTATATATGTGTATATACAGTGGGTACGGAAAGTATTCAGACCCCCTTAAATTTTTCCCTCTTTGTTATATTGCAGCCATTTGCTAAAATCATTTAAGTTTTTTTTTTTCCTCAATGTACACACAGCACCCCATATTGTCTGAAAAACACAGAATTGTTGACATTTTTGCAGATTTATTAAAAAAGAAAAACTGAAATATCACATGGTCCTAAGTATTCAGACCCTTTGCTGTGACACTCATATATTTAACTCAGGTGCTGTCCATTTCTTCTGATCATCCTTGAGATGGTTCTACACCTTCATTTGAGTCCAGCTGTGTTTGATTATACTGATTGGACTTGATTAGGAAAGCCACACACCTGTCTATATAAGACCTTACAGCTCACAGTGCATCTGTGTTTTTCTGTCAAAATGGGGTGCTGTGTGTACATTAATGAGGAAAAAAAATTAACTTAAATAATTTTAGCAAATGGCTGCAATATAACAAAGAGTGAAAAATTGAAGGGGGTCTGAATACTTTCCGTACCCACTGTATATATATACAAATGAACAAATATTAAATTTATATTATTTACTTTTTAATTAAAATGTATACATTAAATTACAAATGATTAGATATATTAATATGTACTTGGGTTTAAAGGGGTCCTATTATGCTCTTTTACAAAGTCTTGATTTTGTTTTGGGGGTGTACTAGAACAGGCTCTCATACTAGGTTGTTCGAAAAACACATTATTTTTCACATATTTTACATTATTACAACACCTCTCTCCCCAGTCTGGCATGAACGGCTCAAATAGTTCCTGTATCAAATGAAGGCCCGCCTTCTGAAATACGAAATGTGCTGTGATTGGTTAGCTGCGCCAGTGTGTGCTGTGATTGGCAGCACTCGGCGACCTGGTCGAGAAATGTCACGCCCTTTACCATAGCCGCCTGCGAGCTTCAGTGTAAATACTGCGTCAAAATCAAATCAATTTGAGCGTGATTTAAACCCGGAAGATTGCAACCACTCTAAGTTCATCTGCCTTGGGAAAGCTAGCATGTCTCCGACATAGTGATAACACTCGTTGCCTTCTCTAGTGCAGCTCAACCAGGTCTCGTCGGTATTTGTGATATCACAAATCCCGGAAAATATGCGTTGTAGTCCAAACGAGTCATTCATTGTAGTTTTTGAAAAGTGATTTCTGTTAAATAAAATATCTCCTTTTGAATTGGACTTTGAGCTTTGTAACTTTGCAGATCTTTTTTATACTCAAACAGCAACATTACAGACTAACTAAAGTTGAAAAAGTGAAAACTCATAATAGGACCCCTTTAAGGCTGATCCAATGCTGATTATTGTTATTTAGGCAGAAGCAACGCAACATCATAAGCGTCTCTGGTATTAGTGGCTGAGGTTGGACAAAGCTGCATATTTGAGTACATATTTGATATTTTCTTGTTTGTTTATTCATTTTTATCACAGAAGTTGAAAAGTCTCAGAGTCTGGGTTACAACACTTGAAGAACTACTACATTATTATACACATCACACATGCAAAACACTCTTTAGAGCAGATTCCTCTCATAAGCAAACAAAAAGGTTACCATATTTGTATAGTGGCCCAAAAAGTGTGCACGCTCGCACACACACACACACAGTGTACCTGTTCCATGAAGCGTCCTCTGGCATGAACAGCCTCCTTGCAGTGTTTTTCTTGCGACCCTTAATCTTCATCTTCACAGGTATTCCACTCAGTACACTACAGAGAGTGTGTGTGTGTCTATGCATACGTGCACACGTACACTCATCCGCTTTCTCTAAAAATGCATTCTTACTTTGTCTAGTAGTAAGTTCTCCAAATCAAATGACATTCATGAAATCAAAAGAAAACAAAATAGAATGATGGGGAGATTCAGATTCAGGAGAGACAGAAGTTTTTTTTAGGCAGCATGTGTTCAGAGACTGAAGGGTTTCTACACTTATCTATCTGATGACTGACTGAATACAGCTCAAACGTCACATGGCTGTCATACACACCCTCTCACAATGCATGTGATCCAAACACAGTCATAGGACACTCTCACTGGCCAAAGTTGCATACCTCAGCAAACAAACTAACATGTACTCTTTGCTAACACTAGGCATGCATGTTGCAACAAATACTCAGT